CCTCGCGTAGGAGGATCCGAATAAACTAATTAGCTAAGCTAATTAACTAGCTATTACAAAACGAATTAACTAATTATTACAAACTGAATAAACTAACTATGCTAGCTAGATTATTACAAAACCAATTAATTAATTAACTATCCTATGGAACTAACTAATTAACTTATTACAACATGAATACAACTTGAAAGAAGTAACTAAGCTAACTAATCAGCCCTGAAAAGTGAGGAATGCTCATGCCGCGGATTGCCACCCGAAAAGCCCATTGTTCTGCTTTGCACAGTTAGAACACTTGCATTTTTTTTTTCACCTCAAAATCAACTTTGTTCTGTTTCAAAAGGGCACTGCTCAATTTGACAAAAGTGGCCAACCGTTCAGAAATGGTGGCCTACTGGCCACAAAATCCTGGTTCCTCCTGCTGTAACAAAGAGCAAACAAAGAATAACTAAGGTATTCTCAAGGGTTGTTTGTACAACTTACCCCTCCTTATCATCAAACAGCTCAAAGGAGTAGTAAATATTATTCACAAACCATCTATCGATGCAATTTTATTGCATGATGGTCTATGAACCAAAGTGTGCAAGTTCAATAAATGCAACAAATAAAGGCTGTCAAACCCCCTCCCTATCATGAATTAATCAAAGGAAGTGGTTGACATTGACTCTTGAACCATTTATATCACTAATGAGTATGAAACAATCCAAGACTCAAGGGTTCAATTAACGTCCGATTGAACCCAAACCAAGTTATTATCTTGCATCATTTTAGTCCAAGTTTTATTATTCCATTTTAATTACCTTTCCATTCTTTAACCAATTAAGTCCACAAATGAATTTAAGTCCTCTAATGGAAAGAGGGCTCAAACCAAGTGTTGCATTAGACATAAAAGAGACATCATACCATTGGCAATGAACCCCCAAAGGGATTAAACCATTAAACATGACACCTCAATCTCATGCTTAAACAAACAAATAATTTGAAACCACTTTCAGAGCAAAGAAAAAGCCAAGAAAGAATGGAGGTTACTATAGCGATCCCGGTTGTCCCTTTACTGTTCTGTTGTATTCCGGACTCGGTTCCGTGAAGTTGGTAGTAGTATCTATCTTATTGCCGTCCTTTAATTCCACTTGATTGAGTTTTAGGATGTTTTGAGCAGGGTTGTTAAAGGTTGGTTAGTCCTTGGTTTCAATTCCTTGTTGTCCAGTTTTTAGGCGATCCGCTCGAGTGGGTCTTGCGCTCGAGCGGGGATTGCACACCTCCAGTATTTCGTGTTCCTGTAAAACTTCTGCAGATGTGATTTTTACGCTCGAGTGGGTTTGTTTACGCTCGAGCGGTAGCGCTCGAGCGGGTTTGTTGGCGTTCGAGCGGGTAGTACTTTCTGGGTATAAGTTCTGGGAGGGGGAAATCTACGCTCGAGCGGACTGATTTTCGCGCTTGAGCGGATGTGCTTTACTCTTGTGTCTTGGCGCTCGAGCGGGCCTTATTGCGCTCGAGCGTGTTCAGATTTTTGTTCTTGACGCTCAAGCGTTGTGTTCTCCGCTCGAGCGGGTCATACGTATATGAGTTATCCGCTGGGTGATTTTAAATCACTTTTTGCTTAAAAATGGAAGGAGAGGTCCTCTATTTATAGAAAAACATCACACTCCCTCAGAAACATCCATCCATACACGTGTAGGTAGATGCAAACATCTATGTAAACAGCTAGCACAGCTGGCAGAAAATATCTACAAAACACACTTGTGACCGGCAAGGCACAAAGGTGGCCAACAGCAAAAAAGGATGGCCGGCAGCCCACAAAAATGGGCCTGCAGGTCCCAGGATTTTCAGGTTTGAAAGGCTGGGGTTTTGGTGCAAAAACAAGGCACAAGGTTTGCAGGGTTTTGAGGCTCAGAGCTGTGGCATTCTGCTGAGGACTTTCGAGCACTTGACAAGCATATACATTCATCATTGGGTGTGCAAGTGATGGTGCCCAAGTCGTAAGGGCAGTCAAAAATGGGATGTCTACAGTATATTATCAAAACACATGCAATATCATACAATGACATGATCATATATTAATAAACATATTCATGAACACAAGACCATAAAATACCAATGCTAAACAAAATTTCCAGATTCAGCACCACTTAAAGATTAAAATCGAAAAGGCTATTTCAGATTTTTCCTGAACTCAACCTTCTTATGGTTTGTAGAGAATTTAATCTAGTTTTCAGAACATGTTTCGGAAATGGAATAGCTTTCCTAGATTATTAGTTATTTGAGAAACACTCCAGCGTTGTCCAGATTCATCGATCATTACGAAAATCTGATTTTCTTACAAACCGCTCACTCTTTTTCAATGAAACCAATTTTCCTTGAAAGTTAACTCCTTAAGGAAGATTTTGACAAAAAACCGAGGTCTAGAATATTTTTCTACATTTGTCTAGAATTTTCAAAAGTTGGTTGTAAAACAGATTTTTCTAGCACAGTTCTTGAAATAAGAAGTTAATGAGAAAAGAGGTCAAGTAAGGGAAATTTTGCACTTCTATTGTGATGAAAACATGCTAAATAATATGTATTAAACTCAGAAATTTAAGGTGAAAGTGTGTCTTTGGAAATTTTGAGAGATTGACATAGAAAAAAGGTAGTCTTATACCGATTAAGAGAAATGCAAGAAGGGTAGAATCAAGACTCAACTCCTTTCATTTTTAACACAAAAGTACCATCAAAACACATCTAAAATGAATGTTTAAAATTTTTAAGAGCATGTATTTGAAAGGAAAAATAAGAGAGTGTTGTGTTGTGGCATAGCTTACTTGTTGCCTAGTTGAAAAGTTTGTACAATTTCTTCTCTTTTTTCCTTTCCTCTACCACCAAAGCTCTCTTCCTCTCTTTCTCAACTGGATATGTAGTGTGTGAGTGTGTTCTGTGCTCAAAAGGTGGAGATGAGTGGTATATTTTTAGGGGAGGGGAAATGATAAAAAGCCTATTTTGCCCTTGGTTCCAATTCAATTGAATAGTTCTTTGATTTAGTTTCAATGTAATGGAATGAGGGGTGATTAGGACCTTAATTATGTATTTAAACAAATTCTAGTTAGGGTTATGTTTAATTGGAACTAAGCTAGTTATAAATACAAGACAAATTTCCTTGAATTATGGTACTAAGGTCAAATTTTCCTCCATGAATCATGCAATGTTGTTTCCAAAAGTACACTAAAAGTGTATATGCTAGGGTGACTGGCCATGTGATATAGATTTGAGGGTCTTTTCTCATTTACTTATATATAGACATATTGTAGATAATTTGAAAAAAATATTATAATATTTGAGGTGTGCTTTTATATGTATAAAAATGATTTGAGCTCAAAATGTAATTAAAATAAAATGTGTGTGTTTGGAATTGATTGGAATATCTATTTCAAGAGTAGTATTAATTAAAATAATGTTAGGAAAAATAATTTGGTTCGAATGATCTTGCTTTGAAATAAAAGACACACCACCGAATGAAATGATGAAAATCGAAAATTAGGATTTTAAGCTACTAATTTAAAATTTGATAGTTAAATAATTAATACTAGAGTGTTAGAAATGATTTCTAAGTTAACGAGATCAATAAGGGTTTGTACGGATTCATCCGTGATACGTTTTCAATTCTAAAGTTAATTTTGCGAATAAACGGGGAACTATGAGCTTTTATTATAATAGTTCAAAAGTGAGGGTCTTATTAGGATTTATAAAATTTAGAAGTCTCACATATAATCAAAGATTTTATAAGTCATAATTAAAATATTGTCCTCACTAGAGAAAAAATTAGTTATAACTATAGAAAAAAAATAATATAATTAAGAGTGCATATGATACATTCCTTTCAATGAAAGTGTATAATAAAATTTTCCTTAAAAAAATAGATAAATAACTCTTTTAACTTTTATATGATATTTTGACTTTTTAACCCTATGCAACTGTTCCCAGATGGAAATTGAATTAGATTAAGATCTATAAATTTTAAAGAAATAGTATAATAATTAAAATATTTATTATCATGAAAAAAATAAAATAGAATATATTAAAACAGAATAACGAAGAGACTTAGGGATAGGTGGATGGTGGTCATGACTTCAAGTTTGGCATTTAAAAAAATGGATTCCGGCTTTGGTCCAGTTTGTCATCAGATTGGATTATGCTGTTAGATTTGTGGGGATTTACCATGGGTTCTGTTTTAAAAATCTAAATCATTCAATGTGTAGAACTCGTCGAGTACTATATAGTTATGAAAAATCACATTGATCGGATATCGATAACTATGTGATCAAATCAGTTTTGTATAAAAAAAAAATGGACGATGAATAAATTAACGGTTGATAAAAAACTGTTTTGATCACATAGCTATCGATATCCGATCAACGTGATTTTTTATAAGTATATAATACTCGACGAATTCTACATATTGAACGGTTCAGATTTTCAAAACGGGACCCGTGATAGGCCTCTACGGGTCCAACAGCACGGTCCAGTCCGATGATAGACTGGACCAAAGCCAGGCCCAAAAAAATAATAGGGTTACATACCTCAATTATTATATTAATTAATATATTAATACATATATTATAATATTATAATTTTAAAATTATAAATCTCAATCATTGTATGAAATATAAACATTCAAAATTAATAAAATTATATCATATTTTCCAGTAGTATATTAATTGAAAAAAATATATATTAAAAAAATAAAAAAAGAATTTTTTATTTTTTTGTGTGTCTTCCTTTGGACAGAAAACACGCCAGTGTGCACAGAGTTCTCTGCAGAGAGTGTAGAAAATTGATTTGAAAACGTAACCAAACATCATGCTTCAAAACACACGTAGAAAATTGATTTGAGAATACAAACAAACAGAGCCTAAATTTTTTTATTTCATATTTTAACTAAAAAATTTAAATATTTCTAAAAAAAAAAAAACCTGTTCCGTTACCAAACGAGGCCTTAAAATCGCAACTTTATGGTAAGAAGTCGACAGAGAGGAGTCATCCATTCCCACTCCACTCGTTCATTTGTCGGCAAACACAGCTAAACCCACATTCCTAAAAACGCCATCGTATTCTGTACGCACGACACCGTTTAGCCGTGCCAACTCCTCTCTATGAAAGTCGTTGATTTCACTCCCTCCATTATCAGAACTCATCACAGATTCACAGCAAGCCCAAAAGCAATACACACAGAGAGTGAACGAAGAAACGATGTCGTACTATCCCCGCGACCACCACCGTGACGACGATGTCGACGACTTCGACGAGTACGATCCCACTCCTTACGACGGCGGATACGACATAGCCCTCACCTACGGCCGCCCTCTTCCTCCGTCATCGGAGATCTGTTACCCCACCACCACCACCACCACCTCCTCCTCCGACTTCGACTCCGATCGCCCCCGCTACTCCTCATCCGCCGAGCCCTCCGCTTATGCCGTCGAAGCTCTCGACACCGAGTACAAGAGCTATGGTCGCCCCAAGCCCCGCCCTGGTCCCTCCCACGGCGGTGGTGATGGTGGGTACGACGGGCCTAAACCCAATTATGGGTTTCAGCCGGGGATAAATCGGCCTGGTGGGTTTGGTGGACCTCCCAGTTCGGAGTATGGCCGGAAACCTGAATACGAGAGACCCAGTTCGGAGTACGGATCTGGGTATGATCGGAAACCTGAATTCGAGAGACCCGGTTCGGAATACGGATCTGGGTATGGTAGGAAGACTGAGACCGAGACTGAGTATGAAGAGCCTAGTCCGGGATTTGAATCTGGGTACGGTCGTAGGCCTGAACAGGAAGTACCCAGTTCTGAATACGGTTCCGGGTATGGTAGGAAGACTGAGACTGAGTATGAGGAGCCTAGTCCGGGATTTGGATCTGGGTACGGTCGTAGGCCTGAACCGGAAGTACCTAGCACTGAATACGGATCTGGGTACGGGCGCAAGAGTGAATATCAGGAGCCAAGCTCCGAATACGGATCTGGGTTTGGGCGGAGACCCGAAATGGATGCTGCTGAGCCGGAGTTTGGATCTGGGTATGGTAAGAAGCCGAGCTATGGGGAGGAAGAAGAAGGTGGTGGTGGTGGTTACGGTGGGAGGCCTCAGAGGACTGAGTTCGAGGCACCGAGTTACGGGAGGCCGAGTGAGGAAGGAGGGGGTTATGGGAGGCCAACTTATGACAGGCCAAGCTATGAGCGGCCTGAGGAGGAAGAGTACCGGAAACCTAGTTATGAGAAGCGTGATGATGAGGAGGATGAGGGCTATGGCCGCAAAAAATATGTGAGTTCATGTTCTTTCTCCATTGCCTTTTTTAGTGATTAGGATTTCTTCCAAATTTCATAGATGTAGGGATGATAAACGAATCAAACGCCAAATTGTTTGAAGTTTGTTTTTAAAACTCTGAAAGGTTCAAAATTTATTTTAGTTTCGTTGTTAAATTTTTAGCCCATATCAAACGAGTTTTTGTTGAGCTGAGTTTGAGTAATTTAATATTTTTATATAGTTTCAGACTTATTGACTGTTGAAATTTGAGTTGAAAGAATTTCAGAATGTGTTAAAGTTGTTCTGTTTACTTAACGAATTGGGTTCGGACGAATTTTTAACGAGTAAAATATGAGTGGAGCTCAAGCTGCTCAGTTCTTTTATCACTCCAGATGTTTTGTGATACTTCATAATTTTTTTCCTTTTCTTTTTGTTTTGGTTGATAATTCCTGGTATTTGTGTTGTAATTTCCATTTTTTTTTATTTATTAATATCTATACATGTATATTGATACGTGTTGGGATGGATAAATACCCATTTAAACTGCTTATTTTATTTATATGCTTGCCCATTTGAATTCCATTTGTTAAATTACTAAGAGCCCACAGTAACTGCAGCCTATTTGTGTCCTATTTGTTTGTTTAAATTGCATTGGTACTAGTTACTTTGTTTATTTCTTTGATTTTCATAAAAAATTTGGTTGTATTTTGTTTTGTTACATGAATACACATATAAATTTGTTAGTCTTGTGCTCTAGTTTTACGTATATGTTTTATCTCAACTTTGATCTCTGCATTGCGGTGTTGTTTTTATGCACCAAGGGGTTACTACAAGAAAAAAATGAAAGTATAAATTGCTCAAATTGCTCCAATAATTATAATATGGTGTGGGATGGACAATTAATTTGAGACTGTTTAGAGCTATTTAAAATTGCATCACAGAAACCATGGCTTAAATGTATCTTGAATTAAATTTTAATATTTCACTTGAATCGGTGCACCTGAATGTGTCTCAAATGAGTGCGTACCTAAACCATGTTTGTTAGTTTGTGCAAGAAAAATTTTAATATTTCACTTGAATGAGTGCACACCTAAATTTCATTTTTTGTAATTGCTTCAGAGTGGGCTACATTTGCCATCTTAAAGCATAGAAATGCTCCACCTTCATTTGCATACTTGTTTGGTTTTCTAGAAAATAGGATTTGAACCTTCTGCTTATTCGTATCCCCAAATTACCACTCTGCTTCTCATTATTGATACGTGTTGGGATGGATAAATACCCCTTTAAACTGCTTATTTTATTTATATGCTTGCCCATTTGAATTCCATTTGTTAAATTACTAAGAGCCCACAGTGACTGCAGCCTATTTGTGTCCTATTTGTTTGTTTAAATTGCATTGGTACTAGTTACTTTGTTCATTTCTTTGATTTTCATAAAAAATTTGGTTGTATTTTGTTTTGTTACATGAATACACATTTAAATTTGTTAGTCTTGTGCTCTAGTTTTACATATATGTTTTATCTCAACTTTGATCTCTGCATTGCGGTGTTGTTTTTATGCACCAAGGGGTTACTAAAAGAAAAAAATGAAAGTATAAATTGCTCAAATTGCTCCAATAATTATAATATGGTGTGGGATGGACAATTAATTTGAGACTGTTTAGAGCTATTTAAAATTGCATCACAGAAACCATGGCTTAAATGTATCTTGAATTAAATTTTAATATTTCACTTGAATCGGTGCACCTGAATGTATCTCAAATGAGTGCGTACCTAAACCATGTTTGTTAGTTTGTGCAAGAAAAATTTTAATATTTCACTTGAATGAGTGCACACCTAAACTTCATTTTTTGTAATTGCTTCAGAGTGGGCTACATTTGCCATCTTAAAGCATAGAAATGCTCCACCTTCATTTGCATACTTGTTTGGTTTTCTAGAAAATAGGATTTGAACCTTCTGCTTATTCGTATCCCCAAATTACCACTCTGCTTCTCATTTTAGGATACAAGTTTCATCTATATATATATAGAGAGAGAGAGAGAGGTCAATATGATCAGCTAATACATTAGAAGTGGTTGTTAGTTCAACCAAGTGACTTCGTAACCGTCAGTGTAGTTTCTTTCTTACTGTAGCATAGGCCTTCGCCACTTCAAACGGTTTCTTCGCCTCTTTTTTCCCCCCCTAGTTTCTAATTAAAAGGAGCAGGGCCTTTGTTATTCAGGTGCATGAAAGACAAATAGAGGGGTCCAATCCTGATTGCCTTTATGCTTCATAAATTTTTAGAATTAAATATGGTGTTGCTGCTATGAGAACAGTAGCTTTATCTCAGATCATTTGTGTGACGGTGAGCAGTACATCAATTTCCAAGAATAACCATATGTGATTCCCTTGGCCGAGAAGCTCAGAAGGGCTCACAGTGAAACAATGAATACAATGATTAGAATAGACTTAAAATTGTCGAGTTAGTTTCTATGTTTTGCAGAACAATGATAGTCAGCGTTTTAGGCTGCTGTTGGTTGCGTTTTTTGAGCTGCAAAACGCAGCTTCTTGTTCACTTCCCAAAAGAACACTTCGATTGTTTGGTTTTGTAGTATAACTCATCATTTCTTGTAATTGTCTCATGTTTACAATTTTGGATTGAATTTGGCAGGGTGCTGATGATGATGAGGAGGAGAAGAAACACCACCACCACCACCACCACCGCAAGCACTATGATGATTAAATAGAACGATGGAAGCCTTTCGAATGGCAGTCGTGCCACAGTAATAACCTACTAAATAAAGAGAAGGCTTGTTTTCCTCTAGCTGTGGCACTACTCACTGTTTGGTGTTTTAAAGGCATTATAAACTTCAGCTTTTGTGGAGAAGTATTGTATGAACTCTTTTAAGTGTGTTCATGCAGCAGATGTCTTTCTGCTTCAGTATAATAAAGATCCCAAAACTTTTGGGTTGGTGTGTGCAATTTTTCATGTTATAAGTTGTGATTTGTGATGGATGTTGGCGTGTGCAATTTTTAAAAATTATTATTAAAAATATATATATATATTTTTCACATAATTTTATAAGAATATCAATGATATTGTCTTCTGTTGGAGGGGAAGGGATAAGAATGTTTTATTCCAGAAAGACAGAATGATTTATTAGGGTGTGTTTGGTAACGTTTATGTTTTCAGTTTATATTTACAAAAATTTTATAAACTGGTTTTTGTTTATTTTTTATTTATTTTTAGAAAAACATAAACTACAAATGCGTTTGGTAATTGACAAAATGTTTAAAAAAATTTTAAAATATAAAAAAAAAGTGAGAAATGGCAAGTGGTGGCAAGTGGCGGCGAAAGACGGTGGTAGAAAGTGGTGACGGCGGGTGGTGGGTGGCAGGTGGTGGGTGACGGTGGCAGGTGGTGGGTGGTAGCAAGTGGGTGGTAGCGGTGGCGGTGGCGGTGGCGGGTGGTGGTGGCAGGTGGGTGGCGAGTGGTGGTGGGTGGTGGCGGCGAGTAGGTGGTGGTGGTGGTGGTGAGATGGTGGTGGAAATGGGTTGGTGATGGGACTAATATTGGAGTTGAGAAAAGAGGAGATTGATTCGGCGCGTGAATCGTACTCTTCATCACCACCACTCGATGACTGTATGCTCCCACTGTTACCCGAATCCATGTCTCTGTGTTAGAGAGAGAAAATAAACAAGTGTAGAGAGAGAGAGAGAGAGAGAGAGGAACAAAAAAAGGAATATAACGTATGGGAGACAGAGATATGGAGTGAGAGATTTGCACAGCTGCAATAGAGATTTGCTTACTTACAAACCCATTTAAGAAGACGCAAGTAGAGAGAGAGAGAGGGGTTCTGGAAGAGAATTCAGAAAGTACCCATGTCTTTAAAGCTCTGAGGATCGAGAAAGAGAACAGTCCTGTCCATGCTTTTTTATTTGTAGCTTTGTCTTTGGGGAAAAGGGTATGCGTGAAGGAGAGAATAAAAGACCCACAGATGATGAAATTGATGGTTGCAAGAGAGAGAGAGAGATCTGTATTTGGGACTGGTGGCTTTGTTCTTGCCTTATATGTGTTGGGATTGAATTAGGGTTTCATCAACTGAGAGAAAGAAACAAGGGAGAAGAGAGAGAGAGAGACGTTGTTCTCTTTAAGCTTTCATCTCTAAAAGAGAGGCGGCTTCAGCTCACGTTTCCACTCAAAAGATCAGAGTGGGGTCTCCATGTGAGCGAGAGAGAGAGAGAGAGAGAGAGAGAGAGAGAGTTCAATTGAATCAAAATTCCAATCTGAACGCAAACGCATTTTGTTCGAAAAATCCGAGAATCCAGATTTGATTATCGTGTCGTAAGAATAAGAAAAAATCGGGAAAACAAAGAAATTTTTTTTTTATTGAACGCGTTCATTCATTTTGACTACTTTATCATAATCATATTAATTTCTTCTCTACCTTCCCGGAGTTCATTCTCCGGGGAACTCCGTTTAAATTATTCCGGTAAATTTCTTACAATCTACTTATTTTATGATCTCGTTGGAAATTATATAAAGACAATTTATATTTAATATAGCTATTTGCGCAAGTATTTTACGATTAAGAAGCACTCGTCTCTTGTACAGATCGTGCATTTCCCTCGTTACTGCTCAACGGAGAAGTAATAGGTAGACATCCCCACAACTGCCCCCTAGGTTCTATTACCTCGGCATTTTGAGGTGATGGAACCTATTCCGATATTTTGTCACCTCTTTTCTGAGTAATGGTTCAAAAACTGATTAGCCAAGATTATCTACTTTCAGCCGATGTGTTCTCTTCGGAGAACAAGGCTTCGATCGTACTCTCCCACGCTCATGAGCTGTCATGCATATCTAACTGTTTTTTTTACGTGTTTTGTCTTCATTGGAGCGTGTCGGTGACGCGCCTGAAAGCTGTCTGTTCGTTCGTCTGCGCCGTCTGACGCGTGCGTTGCCCTAGGCACAATAATTACCCTATTTCTGCCGCTGTTTCACGTTTTTGACAAAACTTTTCCTTTGCCTCTATTTTTCCTTCACTTTTGCATTCTGTCTTCTTGCTCTTTCTCTCTGTGAAAGCTTTTTCTTCTTTGAATCTGCCATTGCTTCGACCTCTCTTCTGGAACTACCCTTAATCCCTCATTCTTGCGAAGCCTTCTTCGCTGTTGCAACCGGTTTTTGAGCTCGGCGAACATTGCCCCGGCTTCATCTATTCCGGTAAGATTCATTCCCTTCAATGTTAATTTCTCTTTATGTACTTTTGTCTGCCAGTTGCCATTACTGATCTTGTTCGAAGCCTTGGATTTATTTGTACCTTGAGTCGTGGCTGCACCTTGAACTTCTATACTTTTTCACCACTCTTCTTGCCACTGTTCTTGATTTTTTTTTTTTTATCTCTATTGTTTCTGAGAGCTATACCTCTGTTTCTTGAATCTGAAATTTCGTCTTTGTTTTCTGTTTTTCGTATCTGCCCCAGATCTGTGCCTTCGATCTTTATCTTCATAGCTCATAGATTTGGGATTTGTGCGTAGAACCTTCAAATTTAGGGAAAACTGAAATAAGCCTTACCAGCTTTTTCTTAGATCTTTACCGAGGTTCTTGTAACCCTTCTTAAAAACGCCCATCTTCTTAAGCTGGCTGGGGATAACGATACCATCATGCCCACAGATCATACAATGCCCTTTCCTATAGTAGCTTTTACCGAATGTGGACTTCGGCTTCCACTTCATCCCCTCTTTCGTGAAGTTCTTTATTTCTACAAGCTAAACCCCATGCAACTTACTATCAACTCTTATAGGGTGATTAATGGTATTATAGCCTTAGCTAGGCAAGAGAACCTTAGAATTACCCTGGCCGACCTTCAATACTGTTATACCATGTGCCCTCTTGACCTGAAGGATAGGGGTTTCGTTTATTACCTTAAGCCGAGATCTACTCAATACAAAATTGTAGCCGACCTCCCAGACTCCAACAAGGGGGCTGGAGATGATTTTCTCATTGCTTCTGGAAATTGGGAATTTGGCCCAGATGAAGATGTCCACCTCTACCCTCTTCCTCGAACAATTACAGAGGGCAAGAGTAAGAGCCCTGAGTCAACGCTTAGTTGTTTTTATTTAAGTCTTTAATATTTTTTGTTTCTGACGTCTGTTTCTTTGTCCTGCAGATCTTCGTCAGCCACCGAAAAATTTTCGTCAATCCTTCTTCCCAGGAACAGATCTGAAAACACTCCTTAACGTTCCAATCCATAAACGAAAAGCCCCACTGTTACTAAACTTCATCCCTACATATAAATCCACTCTACCCGACGTCCCAAGAAAAAGGAAGAAGAGCCTTTCTCCACCCACGGCCACAACCTTAACGGCTTCTACATCCCGAACAGACCAAGAGTCTACATCTGACCCAGCCGATCTTCCATCTACTTCGGCCCCCTACTTAATACCAATTCCTGAACGTAAACGTCGACGAAGGCTTGTAAAGACTGCCGAGATGGTTCGTCCAAGGCCTGTCGTTCAAGACCTTCTCGCCGATCTTCCAACTGACGCCGAAGCCGCACCAACGCAATCAATGCTCCCACCCAAACCAAAGAGAGTAAAAAAAGCTCAACCTAAAGCCAAGGCCACAGATGCCGAAGCTGAGGATGCTGTGCCTATTTCAAAGCTGACAGAAAGCAGAAAATCAACCTCTGTTTCCACCAAGAGGTCGGCTGAGGGTCAACCCTCAGGGTCTACACAATCAAAGAGGCCAAGGTCATCATCTGCGACGACCTCGGCTTCAAAGAAGCCCGACGTCCCCTGGGCCCCTGATCTATCCCTGGAGGATAGGCCCATTATGGCTAGTGAAAGTGCCGACGATATTAACGTTGGTGTCGCCCTCAGCACTGCTCTTCTCCTTCCGAATGACTTGGAGCGAAATGCTAAGCTTAGTGAGTATGAGAATTACGCTCTCATGCTCCAACACTCCGTTCAAGTAAGTATTTCTGTTTGTACTTGTGATTTTTTCTTCCGTTCTTTACTGAGAGTACTGTCTCACATTTCTGTTTTTTCTGCAGGCCATTCAGCATGCCCATTCATTTTCAATGCAATCTTTTGAAAATCGTCAAAGGTTGGTTGATATGAAGAGGGAAGCATCTTCCATGAAGAGAGAGATAAAGTCCCTTGAAGCAAAAATGAAAAAACTGGAGGATCAAGCCGAGGCTGCAACTAAAGCTCAAACTTTAGCTCTTGAGAAGGCCGAATCTGCTGAGGCCGTTAGAAAAGTTGCTGAGGCCGAGAAAAAGAGAGGCCGAGGCTCAGAAGGCCCAAGCGGAGAAAGAACTCCAGCAAGCTCTGGCCACAAAAGAGGCCGAAGTCAAAGAGGCCGATGAAAAGGCCTACGCCCAAGGAATGGCCGACGTCGCAGAAGATTATAAGCTTCAAGTCAGGCAGGCATGCAACAGGGGATTTTCCCTAGGTTGGATGTCTCTGATAAAGAAGCTTGATCTCCCTGTTGACTCGCCCCTTCGGAATGCTGATGCCATCCCTTTGCCATTTCCTCCACCTCCACCTGAAGGTGAATCAGAATCTGATGTTGATGCCGAGGATGAAGATAAGGAAACCAATGAAGAAGCCTTGGTAAGAAAACCCAAGGATGCCGTCGTAGCCAAGTCCCCTCCTCCTACTGAGCAGGTTATGGACTTAACCTTGGATGAGGAGGGTGATGAGGCCAAGGAGGCAACTAAGGAAACAGCTACTGGGCAGCTATCGTCCAATCTTCTCTTGATAGAAAGAAGTGTTGAGGAATCATTAGCAGAGATTGATGCCGAGATACAAGCGGAAAAAGTGGCCGACGAGGTTCCACCGGAATCGTCCGAGGTCCCAGTCCCTGCAGTGGCTAACAGTGAAGAATCTTGAGAAAATTGTCTTTTGTACTTTTTCCTTCTTTTTCTGTACTTTGCACTTTTGTACTCGTTTAATTTTTGGACAATGCAAAATTTCTTCTTAATGGCC